CCATCAAGATTTCGTCTTGGAAACCCTGTGGGGCAGTTCTACCCTGTCCTGTTGGGTCAGTGAATTGGAATTGATTTGATGGCAGTGGGTTGTCAGGGTTTAGATGACTTTATGGAATGCCTCTAGGCTGTTAGGAAATGCTTGTTTTAAGGAGAATGGTGGTGCTGTAGGATAAGCACTCAACTACTAAGCACAGGTTCAGCAGTTCAACCTACTATACCACTATAGTGTGCCAGTGCTTGTTAAGCTGATGTCAGCATAAAATGAAGCCCCATCTATGAAGTATGACTCCAAGGTATTCATGTATATTTTAAAATAAGTGCCATCAAGTCAGTTCCAACTCATAGGGGCCTTATATGGGGTTTCCAAGGAGCAATTGGTGGGTTTGTACCACCGACCTTGTGGTTAGCAGTCCAGTGTTTGTCCTACAGTGCCACACCAGGATTCCAAATAAACCTTGCAATATGGCTCTATAGGATAAGCACTCGACTGCTTATAGATGGATCTTCATTCACCCACTGAAAGACATCTGGTTATTTCCATTTTAGGCTATGAAAAATAAAGTTGCTTACAAACATACTCTCTGGTGAAATGTCTCGTATATCTTCTGGCCCATGTTCTAATTGGATGTTTACTTTTTCACTGTAGAGTTATGAGAGTTCTTCATATATATTCCTTATACTATAGATACTGGTCCTTTGCCAGGCACGTGGTTTGCAATCATTCTCTGCCAGGATGAAGCTTGTTTTCCATCCTTTTAAACAGCATCACAAAGCAAAAGTATCTTATTTTCATGAAGTCTGTTTTTATCAATTTATAAATCATGTTTTGGTGTCACATCTAAGAACTCTAGCCCTGTATGTCAAAAGAATTTGTTTTTGTTTTGTTTTTTCAATAAGTTTTATATTTAAGTTCATGATCCATTTTGAGTTCATTTTTATGCTAGGTGTGATATTTAGTTTGAAGTGGGTTTTGCTTATGGAGGTCCAGTTGTTCTAGTCCCATTTGCTGAAAAGGCTGTCTGTCCTCCATTGAATTGCTTTTGCACCTTTGTTAAAAATCAATTGGGCTTATTTGTGTGGGTCAATTTCTGGGTTCACTGATATATTCCATTGATCTGTGTGTCTCTCCTTCTGCCAATACCACAGTCTTGATTATTGTAGTTATATAGTAAGTTATGAAATTAGATAAACAGATTCCTCTCCTTTGCTCTTCTTCTTTTTTCCAAAATTGACTTTATATATTAATGTTACAGTACTCTTTCTGTATCTTAAAAATTAGGTTAGAACTGTATATCAAAATAGAGGATTAAAGGATTGTTGCTTATAGAGCACTGAGTTTCTGTTCACAGCGATGGGAAAGTCACATTGATTAAGGGTCTGGTTGTATACCCAGTTAATGTCATTGCTGTCAGTAAATTGTATTACTGCAAAAAATTGGATTGACAGAAGTTGTGTAACATATATTTACAACAACAACAGGAAGGGGAAAAAAAGAGTATCTACTGAGTCTGCTTTTAATACAACCAAATGCCTCATGGGATTTGGTTTCTTGGTTTGGAAGTTTAGGGTCATGGTTTCATGGACATCCCAGTTAATTGGCCTAATACAATGTTTAGTGCTTCTACTCTACCTCCTAAATCATTGAGTAGTGCTTGGAGTCTTAAAAAACTTCCAAGGGTCCATCCAAGGTACGATAATTGGTTTCTATTTGCCTGGAGCAACAGAGGAAAAAAGTCAGGAATAGGAGGCTGATATGGAATATGTGGCTAATTGCCTCCATGAACAGCTGCCCATTTCACCCTGAGACCAGAAGAACTGGCCAGTGCTTAGTTACCATTTCTGAGCATTTTTTGATTAAAGATTCTATAGAAGAGTGAGAGGGATGTAGAACAGAATTTCAGATTTTCCAGGGATCTCATACTTTGTAGAGCCATGAAGGGAGGATGAAACCTTGAAATTATTGCCCTGAGATAACCTTTAAACCGTAAACCAAAATAATCCCTGAAATCTTCTTTATTATGTATGTTGTTGTTGTGTTGTTAGGTGTTGTCAAATTGGTTCCAACTCATAGTGACCCTGTGCACAACAGAACCAAACACTGCCCGGTCCTACGCCATCCTCACAATCATTGTTATGCTGGAGCCCTTTGCTGCTGCCACTGTGCCAGTGCATCCCATTGGGGGGTCTTCCTCTTTTTTGTTGACCCTCCACTTTACGAAGCATGATGCCCTTCTCCAGGGACTGGTCCAACTTGATAACATGTCCAAAGTATGAGAGACGAAGTCTGGCCATCCTGACTTTTAAGGAGTATTCTGGCTGTACTTCTTACAACACGGATTTATTTGTTCTTCTGGCAGTCTATGGTACTTGTAGTATTCTTCTCCAGCACCTTAAATCAAATACATCAATTCTTCTATGATCTTCCTTATTCATTGTCCAATTTTCACATGCACACAAGGCTATTGAAAAATACCATGGTTTTGGCCAGGTGCATCTTATTCCTCAAACTGGTATATTTGCTCTTGAACACTTTAAAAAGATCTTGTGCAGCACATTTACCTAATGTAGTATGTCATTTGATTTCTTGACTGCTACTTTTATGAATGTAAATTGTGGATCCAAGCAAAACGAAGTCTTTGACAACTCTTTTTTTCTCCATTTATCACGTTATTTATTTGGTCCAATGTTGAGGATTTTTGTTGTCTTTACAACGCAACCCATACTGAAGGCTGTAGTCTTTGATCTTCACTTGTTATGTGCCGTGGAGTTGGTTCCAACTCATAGCAACCCTGTATAGGGTTTCCGAGGCTGTAAATCTTTACGGGAGCAGAAAGCCTCATCTTTATCCCGCGGAACAGCTGGTAGTTTTGAACTGCTGACCTTGC